ACATATCAGATCGCAATAGTCAGTCCTTTATCATCCTCATATGTCCCTGGGGTCTTAATCAATCATAAATCCCTCGGGTCAAGCCCAGCCAAGAGGCCCATTAGCTCCCAGCTCTCAAGATTGCCCGAATCATGCTTGGCAGTGTCGATCCTGCAGGAGTGGGTGTGGCTTAGGGTCTAGAGTTTAGGGTTAAGGGAGTTTCGAAGTTTTAGGGTTTACCAGGATCCCCGAACTAGCCTCTAGTGCGGAATAAGTAGTTCCTGCTTTTGGGTGTTTGTGCCCTACACAGGGTTCTTGTTCTGTGCAGGCAGGCGAAGTAAGCTTTAAGGGAAAGGGTGGAGTTGAGAATCTTAGGTTGCGGTGTAGGGGTGCAGCATTGCATTCATGTGTTCGGTGCAGGTGGCAAAGCCGAAACCTGTAACCCCAATGAAAAACATATCATCATTCTTCATATTATCACAAGAAAATTTAGAAACAAATCCTGAGGGATAGGAGAAATGCGTCCTTATGGACAGGCCCCAGGGTGGCGCAAGCAGCAGCAAGCCAAGCACTGGCACACCTCGCGGACCACGCTGGCACAGAATCATTTGGCAAACTGCTGTCCACCTCTTGTTAGAAGGGAATGAAGGACTGGACAAGCAATCGAAAAGGATGCTACCATAGGGTATTGGGGATTATAAAGAAACTACTAAAAGATCCATTCCTTGCTAACCAGAGGTAAGACTGCTCTAGTCTGGCCCTTGAGCCAGGCTGTCCGGGCAGCTCAAGATTTGCTTCGGGTTTGGGGTTTCTGGACCGCGCAAGTCAGTACTCCGGGTAAAGGCCGGCAGTGTCCTGACTCCTTAGATGTAGGCTCTCTGAAATTTCAGGGTTGTGATGTGAAATTTAAGGCTTGTGAAAGACGACCCACGCCCTAAGTCGTGAACCGCAACAAGACAGCTGAATTCCCGATACCCTTTGTCGGTTTATAATCATCTCCCCAACTGTTGGGGGGGGTTGGGGATTTGTTCTTTGGGCGAAGATACCAACCTTCCTCCTGCACCCTCAAAGCTTGCGGCAAGCTTAAGCCGGCAAGTAGACCCTAGGCCCTGACCCTCCGCCCCACATATCGCCATGTGAGCTATAATAGAAACTCCTTAAAGGGGTACATAATTAGTGGATTTTATGGGGCAGTATTATAATCAGGGTTTATCAAGGGAGATACTAGGAGTTTAGACTATAGCTCGTGTCCACATCAGTGATGTAGGTAGAGGAGTCAGCAAGGGTGTAGGGTCTACCCTAACCACGGAAGACCTCCAGTTGTTCCCTGGAAACGATCTGTAGCAAGAACCTTCGAAGCTTCCGTTTGGGTTCATTCCTTAAAGCCGTTACTTCGATGCTAGATAACCTAAACCCTAAACCTTTAACTGAGAACCTAGACAGGTCCGGTAAAAGCCCCCCTAACTACTTGGAAGTCCAGGGCAGCTAGAAGTAGAGTTCTGC